TCCTTGCAGCCGTAGATGATCCAATTGCCGCTGGGGCTCCAGTTGATGCAAGTGATCGTGTCCTGGATGCTGGAGAGCAGCTGGAACGCCATGAACTCTTTGCGGCACCCAGGCGTTCCACTCACCTAAACCCTAAACCCTCAACAGTGCCGCCACTGCTGCCGCTGGTCTTGGTGGAGGTTTGCCGGCTTGTTAAGGAGGCCATGGGCGAGAAGATGTGTCCAATGGTTGAGGAGCTGTCCATGGCTAAGGAGAGCATGTTGGGTGAGGAGACAGGATTGCCACCACTGCCACAACCACCACGACTGTTGCCATTGTCGTCACCACGACCACCATGACCATCGGCACCATTGCCACCATCCTCACCACCACCACCACCGCAAGGGATGGGGACCATCACCAACATGATCAATGGATTGGTATCATCATTGTTGTTCCTACTGTGTCCAGCACAGTAGGAATGTCTATCATACTCCGAAAGATGAAATTATGTAATCAAGTGTGTGTGTATGTGTATGTGTGTGTGTGTGTGTGTAAGATTGTCTAATTTAGAGTGCAAATTGTTGCTACTACGACCACTGATCAGCAACCCTAGCCTTGATCCAGCTGCAATCTTCTATTTTGTAAATCTTCATCTAATCACCATGGCTCTTGTGGATTCTCAAACTTTGGCCAAGCCAACGCTCCCAACAGCATAGTTCAGGGTGGCCATGCCACATTGCACAAGGCTCTGGTGGATCACTCCAGAGCTTCAACCTAAGCGCAAGCATCGAGAACGATCCCGAGAGTGAGATGGAACGTCAGCCTCGTAGCGCTGGTAACTAGAGCAAGCCAAGATTGTGATGTGAGCAAGCTTCCACCATGCTCACCACATAATCCCTAAGATGGCAGAACACAGTTGTGAGTGCCTTGATAATGGTCACCGCCCTTGGCCTCAATCTTGAACAAAAGAAGTGCTGCCTCTTGATGCCATTTGGACTTTGGAACAACACTTTGGAACATTGTGGCCCTATGCAAGCCTCATGGGTACTCTCCCCAAATCCTAAACCCCAAGTCCTAAACCCTAAACTTGCACGGGAGATGGAAGCTTTTGAGCCCCCAGTGACATAGCATGCCATCCTAGGTGCTGACCCGTTCTTAGTGCTCTCGGTGAAGAAGAAGATGCTATTGACAACGTTGCGGTGCGTAGAGAGCTCGCCTGGCTTGTGAAAACCCTCATTAAGTCCTTGCAGCCACAGATGATCCAATTGCTGGGGCTCCAGTTGAGGCAAGTGATTGTGTCTAGGATGTTGGAGAGCAGCTGGAATGCCATGAACTCCTTGCGGCACCCGGGCGTTCCACCAGCAGGAGCAGAAGCGAAAGCATTGCAAAGGGGAATCGAGCTAGTGTCTTATTAATTAGGGCTCTTGGGGTGGATGTAGCAAAGTGGTGAGAGATCATGAATCTTTTTATTCTCCTCTTGCTATTGTTTCCTCCTTTATTCCGGAGGAAGGATTTCATATCCCACCGGTAGGTGCTCAATAAGCAGCAATTGCCAATGGTAGAACAGCGATTGCAAGAGCTGTTGAAGCAGTTGCCGCCGCTGATGCCACCCCTGCAAAAGCAGCAGCCGCCGCTGCCACCTCCTTTGTCCCTGGCCCTGTTGCTCTCAACAGTTCTGCCATTGCTGCCGCTGCTCCTCGCGGAGGTTCGCCGGCTTGTTAAGGAGGCGATGGGCGAGAAGATGTGTCCAATGGTTGAGGAGCCATCCATGGCTGAGGAGAGCATACTGGGTGAGGAGACACAATTGCCACCACTGCCACAACCACCACAACCTTCGCCACCATCGTCACCACGACCACTATGACTATCGCCACCATTGCCACTATCCTAAACCCTAAACCCTAAACCCTAAACCTGCACAGGAGATGGCAAGCTTTTGAGCCCCCAATGACATAGCATGCCATCCTAGGTGCAGACCCGCTCTTAGTGCTCTCGGTGAAGAAAAAGTTGCCATTGACAACGTTGCAGTGCGTAGAGAGCTCGCCTAGCCTGTGAAAACCCTCATTAAGTCCTTGCAGCCATAGATGATCCAATTGCTGGGGCTCCAGTTGAGGCAAGTGATCGTGTCCTGGATGCTGAAGAGCAACTGGAACACCATGAACTCCTTGCAGCACCCGGGCGTCCCACCCGCAAAAGTAGAGGGGAAAGCATTGCAAAGGGGAATCGAGCTAAAGTCCTATTAATTAGGGATCTTGGGGAGGATCTAGAAAAGTAGTGAGAGATCATGAATCTTTTTATTCTCTTCCTGCTGTTGTTTCCTCCTCTATTTCAGAGTGAGGATTTCATATCCCACTGTCAGGCACTCACTAACCAGCGAATTGCAATGGTAGAATAGCGATTGCAAGAGCTGTTGAAGCAATTGCCATCGCTGATACCACCCCTGCAGCAGCAGCAGCCACCGCCACTGCTGCCTCCTCCGTCCTCGGCCCTGCGGCACTCAACGGTGCCACCACTACTACCGTTGGTCCTGGCGGAGGGTCGCCGGCTTGTTAAGGAGGCCATAGGCTTTTGGGGTGGATCTAGCAAAGCGGTGAGAGATCATGAATCTTTTTATTCTCCTCCTGCTACTGTTTTCTCCTCTATTTCAGAGTGAGGATTTCATATCCCACCGTCAGGCACTCACTAAGCAGCAAATTGCAATGGTAGAACAGCGATTGCAAGAGCTGTTGAAGCAGTTGCAACCGCTGATACCACCCCTGCAGCAGCAGCAGCCATCGCCGCCGCTGCCTCCTCCGTCCCTGGCCCTGCGGCACTCAACGGTGCCGCCACTGCTACCGTTGGTCCTGGTGGAGGGTCGCTGGCTTGTTAAGGAGGCCATGGGCTTTTGGGGTGGATCTAGCAAAGCGGTGAGAGATCATGAATCTTTTTATTCTCTTGCTGCTACTGTTTCCTCCTCTATTTCAAAGTGAGGATTTCATATCCCACCGTCAGGCACTCACTAAGCAGCAAATTGCAATGGTAGAACAGCGATTGCAAGAGTTGTTGAAGCAGTTGCCACCGCTGAAACCACCCCTGCAGCAGCAGCAGCCACCGCCGCCGCTGCCTCCTCCGTCCCTGGCCCTGCGGCACTCAATGGTGCCGCCACAGCTACTGCTGGTCCTGGCAGAGGTTCGCCAGCTTGTTAAGGAGGCCATGGGCTGTTGGGATGGATCTAGCAAAGCGGTGAGAGATCATGAATCTTTTTATTCTCTTGCTGCTGCTGTTTCCTCCTCTATTTCAGAGTGAAGATTTCATATCCCACTGTTAGGCGCTCACTAAGTAGCGATTGGCAATGGTAGAATAGCAATTGCAAGAGTTGTTGAAGCAGTTGCCGCCACTGATACCACCCCTGTAGCAGCAGCAGCCACCGCCGCCGTTGCCTCTGCCGTCCCTGGCCCTACGGCACTCAACGGTGCTGCCACTGCTACTGCAGGTCCTGGCGGAGGTTCGCCGGCTTGTTAAGGAGGCCATGGGCTGTTGGGGTGGATCTAGCAAAGCGGTGAGAGATCATGAATGTTTTTATTCTCCTACTGCTACTGTTTCCTCCTCTATTTCAGAGTGAAGATTTCATATCCCACTGTCAGGCGCTCACTAAGCAGCGTTTGGCAATGGTAGAACAGCGATTGCAAGAGTTGTTGAACCAGTTGCCGCCACTGATACCACCCCTGTAGCAGCAGCAGCCACCGCCGCCGCTGCTTCCTCCAAACCCGGCCTTGCGGCACTCAACGGTGCCGCCACCGCTACCGCTGGTCCTGGCGGAGGTTCGCCGGCTTGTTAAGGAGGCCATGGGCTGTTGGGGTGGATCTAGCAAAGCAGTGAGAGATCATGAATGTTTTTATTCTCCTCCTGCTACTGTTTCCTTCTCTATTTCAGAGTGAGGATTTCATATCCCACCATCAGGCGCTCACTAAGCAACGATTGGCAATGGTAGAAAAGCGATTGCAAGAGTTGTTGAAGCAGTTGCCGCCATTGATACTACCCCTGCAGCAGCAGCATCCACCACCGCCGCTGCTTTCTCCGTCCCGGCCCTGCGGCACTCAACGGTGCCGCCACTGCTACTGTTTCCTCCTCTATTTCAGAGTGAGGATTTCATATCCCACCGTCAGGCGCTCACTAAGCAGCGATTGGCAATGGTAGAATAGCAATTGCAAGAGTTGTTGAAGCAGTTGCCGCCACTGATACCACCCCTGTAGCAGCAGCAGCCACCGCTGCCATTGCCTCCGCCGTCCCCGGCCCTGCGGCACTCAACGGTGCTGCCACTGCTACCGCTGGTCCTGGCGGAGGTTCGCCGGTTTGTTAAGGAGGCCATGGGCTGTTGGGGTGGATCTAACAAAGCGGTGAGAGATCATGAATCTTTTTATTCTCCTCCTGCTACTGTTTCCTCCTCTATTTCAGAGTGAGGATGTCATATCCCACCCTCAGGCGCTCACTAAGCAGCGATTGGCAATGGTAGAACAACGATTGCAAGAGCTGTTGAAGTAGTTGCCGCCGCTGATACCACCCCTGCAGCAGCAGCAGCCACCGCCGCCGCTGCTTCCTCCATTCCCGGCCCTGCGGCACTCAACGGTACCGCCACCGCTACCGCTGGTCCTGGCGGAGGTTCGCCGGCTTGTTAAGGAGGCCATGGGCTGTTGGGGTGGATCTAACAAAGCGGTGAGAGATCATGAATCTTTTTATTCTCCTCCTGCTACTGTTTCCTCCTCTATTTTAGAGTGAGGATTTCATATCCCACCATCAGGCGCTCACTAAGCAACGATTGGCAATGGTAGAACAGTGATTGCAAGAGTTGTTGAAGCAGTTGCCGCCATTGATACCACCCTTGCAGCAGCAGCATCCACCGCCGCCGCTGCTTTCTCCGTCCCGGCCCTGCGGCACTCAACGGTGCCGCCACTGCTACTGTTTCCTCCTCTATTTCAGAGTGAGGATTTCATATCCCACCGTCAGGCGCTCACTAAGCAGCGATTGGCAATGGTAGAACAATGATTGCAAGAGCTGTTGAAGTAGTTGCCACCACTGATACCACCCCTGCAACAAGGTCGGTGGGCCAATGCCTTGGCCGAGTTTGATTGCGAGATTCTGTACAAGCCTGGGAAGAGCAACATCGTGGCAGATGTGCTAAGTCGAAAAGCGAGCTTGAGGTTGGCGATATCCAGCGCAACAGCAACCTTCTGGGACGATGTGCGGACAGCATATGAGAACGATGGTCTAGCACAAGAAGTGTTGTTGAGGAATCTAGAGGCGCGGGAAGCTCACCAGAGAGGTGAGCTGCCAACGGAAGAGAAAACGGGCTATGCGGAACGCAACGGACTCATTTATTACAAGCAAACGAGGGTATATGTTCCAGAAGGGGGACTAAGGAAAGTAGCCTTAGAAGAGTGTCATGACGGACCTCTTGCGGGACACGGCGGAGTGCCCAAGACGATGGGCTTACTCAAGAGGAAGTACCATTGGCCAGATATGGCTAAGGACGTCCAAGACTATGTAAAGACATGTCCAACATGTCAGCTGGTCAAAGCCGTGACTAAGGCTAGTGGGGGCTTGTTGCAAAGCATCCCAATTCCAGATCGTCCGTGGAAATGTCTTACGATGGACTTCATCACGAGACTAACCCCAAGTGAGGGGTTCGATGCAATATTCGTGGTGGTGGATCGATTTTCGAAGATGGCACATTTCATACCCACCACAACGGAAGTGGATGCGGAAGGTGTGGCGAAGCTGTTCTTTGAACAAGTGGTTCGAGTGCGGGGAAGGCCAGAAGAGATTATCTCAGATCGAGATAAGATCTTCACTAGTAGGTTCTGGAGGACCCTCCTAGAACAGTATCGCACCAAGTTGAAATTCAGCACAGCCTATCACCCACAGACAGGTATGGGGTATTAAGTCAAGTTTGGTGGTCCTAACACTTCTTGACAGACGGACAAACGGAAAGGGTGAATAGGCAGCTGGAGGATTATTTGCGATGCTATGTCTCGGGAGACCAGACCGATTGGGTAAGTCATTTGGGACTTGCGAAAATGTGTTATAACAACTCACCACATTCGAGTATCGGGGTGAGTCCGTGGGAAGTCATCAATGGGCGAGCTATTGAAGGTCTTGTGGAACTCGGCATGGCCGAGTATCATGGAGAGTTACCCGCAGTGGAGGCATTCACGGCGGAAAGACTCAACATTTGGAATCTAGTGAGGGATTCCTTGGAACGGGCTCAACAAAGGCAAACCAAGTACGCGAACCTAAAGCGCCGGGATGTAGAGTTCCAAGCTGGGGAGAAGGTGTGGCTGAACACCAAGAACCTCAAGCTACCAAGTGGGATCAGCCGAAAGTTGACCCAAAGGTAAAAATGCATGTATTCCTGTAAATGAATTGATCTTGAGTTCCTTAAGCAGGTTCGCGGGGCCTTACGAGATTGAGGCACGAATCGGTAAAGTGGCTTACCGACTCCGACTTCCTCGAGAGATGGGGAAGATGCACCCAGTGTTCCATGTGAACTTACTCAAGCCGTACTTTGAGGATCCGCTTCACAAGGACCAAGTAAGACCTTTACCTGAGGTTATCCAAGGGGAAGAGGAATATGAAGTCGAGGCCATCCTCAATGCGCGCAAGAGCAAACGACAAGGACGCGAGGTGACAGAGTTCCATGTGAAGTGGAAAGGATTTCCACACTACGAAGCAACATGGGAACCGGAGGAGAACCTAGCGAACGCGCGAGATCTAGTGGAGGAATTTCTGCAAGGCAGAACTCTATGTACTTATGCAAAGTTCAATTAAAAATATATATTTGCAAAGTTGAGCAAGTGGCATATGTTGGGACCCGAAGGCACGCCGAAGGTAAGCTAATTAGCATGGGTTAGCTAGGTCGACCAGGCATAGGGAGCTACGCCCGACTCCCTGCGGGGATGTCGAATCCGTAGACGTATTCTACGGAGGTTGGGTTCGAGTCCCAACCCCCTAGTAAAGCAAGGCTGGGTTCAAGTCCCGACCCCATACTAGGGCGTGGTGAGGTGAGGAGTATAGGGACACCTATATTCCGTTGTCATGGGCTCTTGGCCGGGGAGGCTAACTTAGGCACACCGCTAACTGGGGGGATGCCCCCGGAGACATGGTCAACAAGTCATAGGATAAAACGAGACGTTCGATGTGGGCATCGAACTTCTTCTATGGGTGGTGGAGTTGTAAGGAACCAACTCGCCGAGGTGTCGTAGGCTAAAGGAACCCCGAAAGCATGACCGAAATGACAAAGAGTTCATCGGATGGGACCAAGTCGAAGATCGAGTCCAAGACCGACTCTAGGACCGAGTTCAAGATCGAGTCCGGAATCGAGTCCGAGACCGACTCGGGGACCGAGTTCGAGTCCGAGTTCGAGACCGAGTTCGAGACGGAGTCCAAGATCCGAAATCGGGTCCGAGACCGAGTCCGAGGTCGAGTCCGAGGTCGGGTCCGAGATCAGGTCCGAGATCGAGTCCGAGATCGAGTCTGAAACCGAATCCGAAGTCGGATCCGAAATCGGGTCCGAGATCGAGCCAGAGACTAAGTCCAAATACTAATACGGGTCAAGGGGTGAAAGCCCAAAGCGTGCGTCTCCCAAGGGGAGGGGGGGGGGCTGCAGGGGGTTCCAAAAGTATAGTAGGGATAGTGAGGTCCAGGAACCAGTTTAGAAGGGACTCTCCAGTGGGGCTCCCAAACTGACTTGAGGTTGGGACTGGGACCGAGGGGCATTGGGTGGGAGTGAGCATGGACTTGGTTGGTGCCGGAGGGGCCATCCAAGGAAGTGCTCAAGAGCAGCTCCCACTCTCGAAAGGGAAACCGATTACGGTGCTCCCGGCTCATGTGGAGTGGTGCCCCACTTGAGTACCATGCGGCTCATTGGTCCTCGCCCTTCCTAGGGGCTTGGGCCTTCCTTCAGGATGGAAGTGGGGGGCGAGAGGTACCCATACCGGGCCGCTAGGCCACGGTGTTTCGCCCCGGCGTCCCGGAGCAAGTGTTGCACTCAAGACTTGGGATTTAGAGGGTCCCATGATCAAGTCTTGTGGTACCAAAGGATGTTAGGAACTTGGAAGCTTGGTGTGCTTGGCTGCTTGTGCTTGCGGGGAGTGTAGCCGAACCTTAAGTCCAGTCTAACCCGGGGAGGGGGATTGGGAGTGATTTGGGAATCCGTGGATGGATGGCTAACACTCCGTTGCTCGTGCAGTGAGTAGCTAAGACCAAGTAGGAGATGGTACCATAGGCGAGAACCTTGGCAAGGGAACTTAGCAAGAGCCAAGGCGGTGTTGGACGGATAGACGAGGTAAGCTAGCAAATTGGAAAGGAAAAATTTGTGGCTTACACGTCCCCGGCCCTGCGGCACTTAACGGTGCCGCCACTGCTACTTCTGGTCCTTGCGGAGGTTCGCCGGCTTGTTAAGGAGGCCATGGGCTTTTGGGGTGGATCTAGCAAAGCGGTGAGAGATCATGAATTTTTTTATTCTCCTCCTGCTACAGTTTCCTCCTTCATCTTAGAGTCAGGTTTTCATATCCCACCATTAGGCGCTCACTAAGCAGCGATTGGCAATGGTAGAATAGCGATTGTAAAAGCTGTTGAAGCAGTTGCCACTGCTGAAACCACCCTTCAAACAACAGCAGCCACCGCTGCCGCTGCTTCCTCCGTCCCCGGCCCTGCGGCACTCAACGGTGCCGCCACTGCTACCGCTGGTCCTGGCGAAGGTTCCCCGGCTTGTTAAAGAGGCCATGGGCTGTAAAGGTGGATCTAGCAAAGCGGTGAGAGATCATGAATCTTTTTATTCTATTGTTGCTACTGTTTCCTCCTCTATTTGAAAGTGAGGATTTCATATCCCACCGTCAGGCGCTCACTAAGCAGCAATTGGCAATGGTAGAACAACGATTGCAAGAGCTGTTGAAGTAGTTGCCGCCGCTGATACCACCCCTGCAGCAGTAGCAGCCACCGCCGCCACTGCTTCCTCCATCCCCAGCCCCGCGGCACTCAACGGTGCCGCCACTGCTACCGCTGGTCCTAGCGGAGGTTCACCGGCTTGTTAAGGAGGTCATGGGCTCTTGAGGTGGATCTAGCAAAGCGGTGAGAGATCATGAATCTTTTTATTTTCGTGCTGCTACTATTTCATCGTTTATTTTAGAGTGAGGATTTCATATCCCACCGTCAAGCGCTCACTAAGCAGCGAATTGCAATGGTAGAATAGCGATTGCAAGAGTTGTTGAAGCAATTGCCACTGCTGATACCACCCCTGCAGCAGCAGCAGCCACCGCTGCCGCTGCCTCCTCCTTCCCTGGCCCTGCGGCACTCAATGGTGCCGCCACTGCTACCGCTGGTCTTGGCAGAGGTTCGCCGGCTTGTTAAGGAGGCCATGGGCTGTTGGGATGGATCTAACAAAGCGGTGAGAGATCATGGATCTTGTTATTCTCTTCTTGCTGTTGTTTCCTTCTCTATTTCAGAGTGAGGATTTCATATCCCACCATTAGGCGCTCACTAAGCAGCGATTGGCAATGGTAGAACAGCGATTGACAGAGTTGTTGAAGCAGTTGCCGCCGCTGATACCATGCCTGCAGCAACAGCAGCCACCGCCGCCGCTGCTTCCTCCATCCCCGGCCCTGCGGCACTCAACGGTGCCGCCACTGCTACCGCTGGTCCTGGCAGAGGTTCGCCGGCTTGTTAAGGAGGCCATGGGCTGTTGGGGTGGATCTAGCAAAGCGGTGAGAGATCATGAATCTTTTTATTCTCCTCCTGCTTCTGTTTCCTCCTCTATTTCAAAGTGAGCATTTCATATCCCACCATTAGGCGCTCACTAAGCAGCGATTGGCAATGGTAGAACAACGATTGCAAGAGCTGTTGAAGTAGTTGCTGCCGCTGATACCACCCCTACAGCAGCAGCAGCCACCGCCGCCGCTGCCTCCTCCGTCCCTGGCCCTACGGCACTCAATGGTGCCACCACTGCTACCGCTGGTCCTGGCGGAGGTTCGCTGGCTTGTTACGGAGGCGATGGGCTGTTAGGGTGGATCTAGCAAAGCAGTGAGAGATCATGAATCTTTTTATTCTCCTCCTGCTACTATTTCGTCCTCTATTTCAAAGTTAGGATTTCATATCCCACCGTCAGGCGCTCACTAAGAAGCGATTGGCAATGGTGGAACAACGATTCCAAGAGCTGTTGAAGTAGTTGCCGCCGCTGATACCACCCCTGCAGCAGCAGCAGCCACTGCCGCCACTGCTTCCTCCATCCCCGGCCCTGCGGCACTCAACGGTGCTGCCACTGCTACCGCTGGTCCTGGCGAAGGTTTGCCGGCTTGTTAAGGAGGCCATGGGCTTTTGGGGTGGATCTAGCAAAGCGGTGAGTGATCATGAATCTTTTTATTCTCCTCCTGCTAGTTTCCTCCTTGCTTCAACAGCTCTTGCAATCCCTGTTCTACCATTGCAATTTGCTGCTTAGTGAGCGCCTGACGGTGGGATATGAAATCCTAACTTTGAAATAGAGGACGAAATAGTAGCAGGAGGAGAATAAAAAGATTCATGATCTCTCACTGCTTTGCTAGATCCACCCTAACAGCCCATCGCCTCCGTAACAACACTGTCAAGCGCTCACTAAGCAGCGAATTGCAATGGTAGAATAGCGATTGCAAGAGCTGTTCAAGCAATTGCCACTGCTGATACCACCCCTGCAGCAGCAGCAGCCACCGCCGCCGCTGCTTCCTCCGTCCCCGGCTCTGCGGCACTCAACAGTGCTGCCACTGTTACCGCTGGTCCTGGCGGAGGTTCGCCGGCTTGTTAAGGAGGCCATGGGCTTTTGGGGTGGATCTAGCAAAGCGGTGAGAGATCATGAATCTTTTTATTCTCCTCCTGCTATTGTTTCGTCCTCTATTTCAGAGTGAGGATTTCATATCCCACCTTCAGGCGCTCACTAGGCAGTGAATTGCAATGGTAGAACAGCAATTGCAAGAGTTGTTGAAGCAGTTGCCGCTGCTGATACCACCCCTGCAGCAGTAGCAGCCACCGCCGCCACTACTTCCTCCGTCCCCGGCCCTGCGGCACTCAACGGTGCCGCCACTGCTACCGCTGGTCCTGGCGGAGGTTCGCCGGCTTGTTAAGGAGGCCCTGGGCTTTTGGGGTGGATCTAGCAAAGCAGTGAGAGATCATGAATCTTTTTATTCTCTTGCTGCTACTGTTTCCTCCTCTATTTCAAAGTGAGGATTTCATATCCCACCGTCAAGCGCTCACTAAACAGCGATTGGCAATGGTAGAACAGCGATTGCAAGAGTTGTTGAAGCAGTTGCCACCGCTGATACCACCCCTACAGCAGCAGCAGCCGCCGCCGCCGCTGCTTCCTCCATCCCCGGCCCTGTGGCACTCAACGGTGCCGCCACTGCTACTCCTGGTCCTGGCGGAGGTTCGCCGGCTTGTTAAGGAGGCCATGGGCTTTTGTGGTGGATCTAGCAAAGCTGTGAGAGATCATGAATCTTTTTATTCTCTTGCTGCTGCTGTTTCGTCCTCTATTTCAAAGTGAGGATTTCATATCCCACCATTAGGCGCTTACTAAGCAACGATTGGCAATGGTAGAACAGCAATTGTAAGAGCTGTTGAAGCAGTTGCCACTGTTGAAACCACCCTTCCAACAGCAGCAGCCACCGCCGCCGCCACCTCCTCCGTCCACGGCCCTACGGCACTCAACAGTGCCGCCACTACTACCGCTGGTCCTGGCGGAGGTTCGCCAGGTTGTGAAGGAGGCCATGGGCTGTTGGGGTGGATCTAGCAAAGCAGTGAGAGATCATGGATCTTTTTATTCTCCTCCTGCTATTGTTTCCTCCTCTATTTCAAAGTGAGGATTTCATATCCCACCGTCAAGCGCTCACTAAGCAGTGATTGGCAATGGTAGAACAACGATTGCAAGAGTTGTTGAAGCAGTTGCCGCTGCTGATACCACCCCTGCAGCAGCAGTAGCCACCGCTGCCGCTGCCTCCTTCATCCCTGGCCCTGCGACACTCAACGGTGCCGCCACTACTACCGCTGGTCCTGGCGGAGGTTCGCCGGCTTGTTAAGGAGGCCATGGGCGAGAAGATGTGTCCAATGGTTGAGGAGCTGTCCATGGCTGAGGAGAGCATGTTGGGTGAGGAGACACGATTGCCGCTACTGCCACAACCACCACGACCTTCGCCACCGTCGTCACCATGACCACTATGACTATTGGCATCATTGCCACTATGATCCCCCAGTGACATGCCATCCTAGGTGCAGACCCACTCTTAGTGCTCTCGGTGAAGAAGAAGATGCCATTGACAACGTTGCGGTGCGTAGAGAGCTCGCCTGGCCTGTGAAAACCCTCACTAAGTCCTTGCAGCCACAGATGATCCAATTGGTGCTGGGGCTCCAGTTGAGGCAAGTGATTGTGTCTTGGATGTTGGAGAGCAACTGGAACGCCATGAACTCCTTGCGGCACCCGGGCGTTCCACCAGCAGGAGCAGAAGCGAAAGCATTGCAAAGGGGAATCAAGCTAAAGTCTTATTAATTAGGGCTCTTGGGATGGATGTAGCAAAGCGGTGAGAGATCATGAATCTTCTTATTCTCCTCCTGCTATTGTTTCCTCCTTTATTTTGGAGGGAGGATTTCATATCCCACCGTCAGGCGCTCACTAAGCAGTGATTGGCAATAGTAGAAGAGCAATTGCAAGAGCTGTTAACGTAGTTGCCGCCGCTGATGCCACCCTTACAAGTCCTTGCAGCACCCAGGCGTTCCACTCACCTAAACCCTAAACTGTCAATGGTGCCGCCACTGCTGCGGCTGGTCCTGGTGGAGGTTCACTAGCTTGTTAAGCAGGCCATGGGCGAGAAGATGTGTCCAATGGTTGAGGAGCCGTCCATGACTGAGGAGAGCATGCTGGGTGAGGAGACACGATTGCCACCACTGCCACAACCACCATGACCATTGCCACCGTCGTCACCACGACCACCATGACCATCGGCACCATTGCCACCATCCTCACCACCACCACCACTGCAAGGGATGGGGACCACCACCAACATGATCAATGGATTGGTATCATCATTGTTGTTCCTACTGTGTCCAACGAAGTAGGAACATCTATCATACTCCAAAAGATTAAAGTATGTAATCAAGTGTGTGTGTGTGTGTGTGTGAGATTTTCTAACTTGGAGTGTAGATTGCTGCTACTACAACCATTGATGAACAGCCCTAGCCTTGATCCAGCTGCAATCTTTTGTTTTTATGAATCTTCATCTAATCACCCTGGCTCTTGTGCCTTTGTTGAGACCGTAAGCTCTCATGGATGCTCAAAAGTTTGGCTAGGCTAGGGCTCCCAACAGTGTAGTTAAGGGTGGTCATGCCACTTTGCACCAAGCTCTAGTGGATTGCTGCAGAGCTTCAACTTGAGCTCAAGCGTTGAGAATGATTCCGAGAGTGAGATATTGAGAACAATCCCAAGAGTGAGATAGAACCGGTTTTAGGGTTTTGGGTTTTGGGTTTAGGGTTTATATCATCACCCAACACATGGGCATAGCCTTCCTAGGTCATACTAGCATTTTTTGGCCAAACTAGCCCCACTGGGGTCCAACCTTTACACTCTCCCTATTATATTTTTAGAACCCCTTGCACCCTAAACCCTAAACTGTTTCCTCCTCCGCCCCCGCCCCTGCTACTATCAATGGCGCTGCCATTGCCGCCGTTGGTCCTGGCAGAGGTTCACCGGCTTGTTAAGGAGGCCATGGGCGAGAAGATGTGTCCAATAGTTGAGGAGCTGTCCATGGCTGAGGAGAGCATGCTGAGTGAGGAGACACGATTGCCACCACTGCCACAACCACCATGACCATTGCCACCGTCGTCACCACGACCACCATGACCATCGGCACCATTGCCACCATCCTCACCACCACCACCACCGCAAGGGATGGGGACCATCACCAACATGATCAATGGATTGGTATCATCATTGTTGTTCCTACTGTGTCCAATGCAGTAGGAACATCTATCATACTCCAAAAGATGAAAGTATGTAATCAAGTATATGTGTGTGTGTGTGTGTGTGTGTGAGATTGTCTAACTTGGAGTGTCAATTGCTAGTACTACAACCATTGATCAGCAGCCTTAGCCTTGATCCAGCTGCAATCTTCTGCTTTTGTGAATCTTCATCTAGTCACCCTAGCTCTTGTGCCTTTGTTGAGACCGTAAGCTCTCATGGATGCTTAAAACTTTGGCTAGGCCAAGCTCTGGAGCGATCCACCAGAGATTGGTGCGAAGTGGCATGACCACCTTGAACTACGCTGTTGGGAGCCCTGGCCTCGACCCGAGCACAAGCGTTGAGAACGATTCCGAAAGTCAAATATTGAGAACGATCCCGAGAGTGAGATAGAACCGGTTTTAGGGTTTAGGGTTTATATCATCACCCAACACATGGGCATAGCCTTCCTGGGTCATACTAGCATTTTTTGGCCAAATTGGCCACACTGGGGTCCAACCCTTAGACTCTCCCTATTATTCTTTTAGAACCCCTTGCACCCTAAACCCTAAACTGCTACCTCCTTCGCCCCCGGCCCTGCTGCTGTCAATGGTGCCACCGCTACCGCCGCTGGTCCTGGCGGAGGTTCACCGGCTTGTTAAGGAGGCCATGGGCGAGAAGATGTGTCCAATGGTTGAGGAGCCGTCCATGGCTGAGGAGAGCATACTAGGTGAGGAGACACGATTGCCACCACTGCCACAACTACCACGATCGTCACCACCATCGTCACCGCGACCATCGGCACCACTGCCACTATCCTCACCACCACCACCACTATAGGGGATGGGGACCATCACCAGCATGATCAGTGGATTGGTATCATCATTGTTGTTCCTACTGTGTCCAGCGTAGTAGGAACATCTATTATACTCCCAAAGATGAAAATATGTAATCAAGTGTGTGTGTGTGTGAGATTGTCTAACTTGGAGTGTAGATTGTTGTTACTTCAACCACTAATCAGCAGCCCTAGCCTTGATCCAGCTGCAATCTTTTGTTTTTGTGAATCTTTATCTAATCACCCTGGCTCTTGTGCCTTTGTTGAGACTGTAAGCTCTCATGGATGCTCAAAACTTTTGCCAGGCCAAGGCTCCCTATAGCGTAGTTCAGGATGGTCATGCCACTTTGCACCAAGCTCTAGTAGATCACTCCTGAGCTTCGACCTGAGCGCAAGCGTTGAGAATGATCCCGAGAGTGAGATATTGAGAACTAAGAGTGAGATAGAATGTCGGCCTCACAGCGCTGGTACCCCTAGCAAGCCGAGATTGTGATCCGAGTAAGCTTCCACCATGCTCACCACACAATCTCTGAGATGGCAGAACACACTATGAGCACCTTGATGATGGTCACCTCCCTTGGCCTCAACCTTGAACAAAAGAAGTGTGGCCCCCTGATACCATTTGGATTTTGGAACAACACTTTAGAACACCGTGGCCCTACGTGAGCCTCATGGGTTTTCTCCCCACTTTCCGCCTTTGGGTGTTCTAGCCATGGGGCTCAAGTGAGGTTTTGTTGAGCCATGCCAAGTATCTAAGTAGGTAGTGTCACCCATGCTTAGACTGGGAGTATTGACAATTTGATCTCCCGGAGGAACTACAGCTAGTTCTTGAACACTTCATTAAGCTACCCTGTTTGTCAGTCTGTATTCACTTTAGCTTTGGACTCTTTAATGGATATATCATCACCCAACACATGGGCATAGCCTTCTTGGGTCACACTAGCCTTTTCTTAGCCAAACTAGCCCCACTGGGGTCCAACCCTTACACTCTCTTTATTATACTTTTAGAACCTCCTACACCATAAACCCTAAACTGCCGCCTCCTCTGCCCCTAGCCCTGCCACTGTCAACAGTGCTGCCGCTGGTCCTGGCGGAGTTGTACCAGGACATCTTTCAATCCTAACAACTTGCCGGAATTTAAATATTTATTTAGATATTCCATTTTATCTTACATATATTTGAATATAATCCACTCCCTTTAAATAAAAACTCTTTTCCTACCCTTTTCCATATGCTGGCACAACTTAGGATTAGCAAAAACAAGAATATTATATTTGATAATCTCAAAACACCTATGATTTATCAATTTACCTGTATTGGACCATAAATTATTTATATTAAATATAACATATTCACATAGAAACCTTGTCATGTGGTCAATAAATAAATATTGTACAAAATTAAACTGTTTACATTTAACATTTTTTACTATTAAAAATAAATGTAATTTAGTTATATATAATCAACAAGCACCAAATTATATATAGTGGGAAACCAAAACTTATAATTATCCAAAATGTGTCCTATAGTTATATTACTATTTGAAATAACAAAAATTATTTGCTGTTGTGAGGGCCAAGTGTACGGCTACGATGCCGTATACTAATATTAGCGTAGTGGATTTTGGTAGCCGTCGGATTGGTTTCAATCCGGACCACTCGCTCCTGTATATAAGCTAGGGTTTTTGGGCTAATTGATATGCACATTTCTGTATTCCCTTTCCATATTCCAGGCACTCACATTGGTGGAGATGAGGGGCACCTTTGATTATCCCTGAGGAGTGCTTGGATTTGGGATTTTGGTTTAGATCTAGCTTTTGCATCGTCTAGATCTAGCTTTTTCCATTTTCTTTCTTTTGTTCTTTCTTTGGTTTAGATCTAGTTTTTTGCGTTGTCTAGATCTACCATTTCCTTCTAGCTTTTTGTCATCTCTCTTCTTTTGCTCTTTCTTTTTCGTTCATCTTCATGGCAGATCCGCAATCTCCTCCTTTGACTCTAGAGCAGCAGTTGGTACAATTGCTTGATGCTATGCGTTTGCAATTGAACAACCAAACTCAGTTGATGGCGGCGTTCACGGCACGTGGTACAACTCCTCCTGCTCTTGGTGTTAATCCTCGCGTTTGGCCGGAGTTCTTTCGCGGGAATCCTGGGGATGATGTGTACCATTGGTTCGATCACTTCACGGTGATTGCCACATATCATTCTTGGGATGATGCTCGACGTTTGTGGGAGTTTCCCATGTGTCTCCAAGGGACGGCGTTGCAGTGGTACAATGGTTTGAGCGCAGCCACTTGTGGGGATTGGAGTGTTCTCCCGGATGTCTTCAAACGCGCCTTCGGCCATGCCGATGATTGTGATGATGCTTTCCAACAATTGCATCGTCTTCGCCAAGGGCCATCTGAGTCGGTGATGCAATTTGGCGTTCGTTTCCGAAGTCTTTTGCTTCGTGCGGAGCCAAATATGTCGGAGCGGATCAAGCTAGGAATGTTGTGGCCAGCACTTCGTCAAGATCTTGTCGGACTTGTGCATGCACTTGCTCCTGCCACCCTTGACGATGCTCTTCGCTGGGCACAACGTTATGAGACGTTGCCTCTTCCACTTCTCGCTGCACGTCCTTCCGCTCCCCTTCCTATGGGTGATGGTCCTGTTCCAATGGAGGTTGATGCTGCTGCTGCTCGAGTCCAAGGACAAGCGCGAGGACGTGGTCGTGGCCGTGATGTTCGCTGCTGGGCATGTGATGAAGTTGGTCATACTTATCAGCGTTGCCGTCGTTTTCCGGATTGGCGACCTCCATTTCCTGGGTGGAGACCTTGGCGTCAGCAACGTCCCGTGGGTGCTGCTGCAGTGGAAGGTCTGGACACCGAGATGCATCCGGGAAACGAAGAGTCGCGCGAGTAATGGAGGGACCTTGCGCGAATAAATCAGTGACCCCTCCATCTTTCTTTCGGGAGTATCATCAAGGGGTTCACTCGGCACCGGTTCATCCCGTGTTTACTTTCCAAGCTCGTTTTTATAACAAGAGGTCTCCTATTATTCTCTCCGTGTTGGTTGATACAGGTTCGAGTTTATCTTCTATTGCTCGACCTGCTACCACACGTTGTCGTCTACACTTGCGTCGTGCGGCGGAACCAGTTTTCATTCTTTATGGCAACGGCCGTACACATGCATGTGCACGGGATGAGGTGGACCTGGTTGTGCGTGTGGGCGATCTCGAGCTTGAGTTGCAGTCGTTGCGAGTGGTGCCGAGTCAAGCTTTTGACCTCATTCTTGGTATGGATTGGTTGCAGCGCAATCATGCCAAGTGTGACTTTGAGGTTTTTCCCCCTTGTCTACTTCCTTATGTTTCATCCATTCCTCTCACTTCCATACCTCTTCGTCCCTTTACTTCTACCTCTGCTTCCATTACTTTTGTTCCCCCACTATTTCCTCCTGTGTTTCCATCTTGTTCTGCTTTTCCCTTTTCCGATCCCTCCGACGATCTTTGTGTTGCAGCAGTTGACCGGCTCATGAAGGAGTATTCTGATCTCTTTGAATTTGACCTATCGTCTGGGGCCAAGATTGCCACACGTCATCCGATTCCAACCGGGGATGCTCGTCCAATCAAGGTTCCTGTTCGTCGTCGGTCACCTAAGGAGATCAAGATTTTACGAGCCAACGTCAAGAAAATGCTGGAGAAGGGTGTTATTCGGAAGTCGCGGAGTCCTTGGGCATGTGAACCTCATCTTGTGACGAAGCCTGATGGGAGTATTCGTTTCTGCATCGACTATCGCCCGTTAAACGAAGTGACGATCCCAGATGTGTATCCTCTTCCTCACACTGCTGATCTCTTAGATCGTCTGGGGCGAAGTCATTGGTTCACCAAGCTAGATCTTGCTTCTGGGTATTGGCAAGTACCGATGGCCGAAGAAGATATTCCTAAGACTGCTTTTCGTACACCATTTGGTTTGTATGAGTTCTTGGTGATGCCGTTTGGTTTGAACAATGCTCCCGCAACTTTCCAGCGGATGATGGACGAGGTTCTTTGCGATATGCCGGAAGTGACTGCTGACTTCATTGATGATGTTTTGATCCACTCGGAGGGGACGTGGGAGGAGCACGTTCGTGATGTTTGTAAAGTGTTGGATCGGCTACGTGAGGTTGGTTTAAAGCTGAAGCGGTCAAAGTGCGTGTTTGGGTCCAAGGACACAACTTATCTTGGGTACCGTATTTCTCGTGAGGGTTTGCAAGTTGATCCTGACAAACTTGTGGCTGTTCTAAAGTTCCCTACTCCGAAATGTGTGAATGATGTGCAGCGCTTTTTGGGTAAGGTGCAGTATCTCGGTCGTTTTGTGGATCATCTTTCCGATCGCACTACACCATTGCAAGCGTTGCTGAAGTCATCAACGTCATCTTTCATCTGGTCTCCGGATTGTGAGCGGGCGTTCATGGATCTCAAAGAGTTATTGACGACTCCTCCGGTTTTGGCATATCCTGACTACACTCGACCTTTTATTTTGCGCGTGGATGCTTCTGACATTGGTCTTGGAGGTGTGTTGATGCAAGAGAGCTCGAGTGTGCCTGGTCAGCGCCATCCCATTGCATACATAAGCCGTACATTACAACCAGCGGAGATGAACTACTCCACGACGGAGAAGGAGTGTTTAGCAGCAGTCTGGGGTTTCAAGAAACTTCATGCATATCTACATGGTTCTCGGACGTTACTTGAAGGTGACCATGCTGCTGTTACTTCGTTATTGAAGCAGAAGAACCTGGTTGGTCGTACGGCTCGATGGGCTTTGAAGCTTCAGATATATAATTTCGATGTTGTTCATCGCCCAGGGAGTTCTATGGCTGATGCTGATGCCCTTTCTCGAGCTCTTCTTCCTTCTCCACTCACTTCTCATGTTTTTGACGAACCTGTTGTTCCAGCGTCTGTGGATTTTCTAGATGAGGATTCTGTGCCGTCGGCGGTTGCTGTCCTTGACGTTCAATGTCCACAGGGCGCAGAGCAAGATCTACCTTCTCTTGATGAGGTTCGCGAGGCTCAAAA